AACATGAATAAAGGAAAAGGGTTTTTACGTAAATAAAATATTTAAAAAAAGTCAAAGTATATTTGTTCACAAAATATTTACACAAAAAATGACTTATACACAGAAGATTTATATTCAGTTATTTCTTCACAAATAACTAGTGTATAGTGTAGTTTTTCACAATTTTTTCTAATTTTTTTGTACAAAAAAAAACGATGAAAATAATTACCACAATAGTGACAAAAATATCCTTAAAAGTGGTAAATTCTTGACAAAAGTGACAAATTTTTTAATTATAAAATAACCCAACAAAATTATAAAAAAACCCTCAAAATAATAAATTTAGAAAATACAATACTAAAAAAAAAATTTCGATGACTGTGTCCTAAGTGGGTGGAGGATTGATAATAGCAGTACTAAAGACAGAAAGAAAAGCCTAGAAGGTGGTAGTTGCTTTCATATAAAGCTGGTTGCAATAAGAAGTTTGTTTTTTGTCAAATAAAGCTGGAGGAGAATTAATGGTGGCACTGGCAGTACCCTTTCCTCTGAAACCAAGTCCTTGCAAATAATTTACCTATGTTATATGATATCAAAGCTCAAAAAGTATTTGATATGGACACATATCTATTGATGGACCACACACCAACGTGAAGGATATTAAAGTTATTTTACTTTTGCTATATAACACAGTTTGGGGTGCATTTTAATGCATAAATCAGTCGAGCAAAATACCCAAGATGCTTATAGCGGAGTGTGGGTGAGATAAGTGATAAGCAAGTTTTTTTGTTTTAATTTAGGAAAGATTGATTTTCAAATCCGAAATGCAAAATATATACAAGCAAATATAAACATCCTAGCATAACACAGATACCGAAAATTAACAGTATATATAATTAGTTGAAAATTAAAAAGTAGAATGAGTATAGAAAAACAGAGGTGGCTACCAAGAGCAGTCCTCTACCATGCCAACATTTTCTTAAGCAGACAATTACAGTGGAGTAAATTAACTATATGACAAAAGTGAGCCAAAAGATGCCCTAAAACTAAATATGTGATTTTCACAACTTTTATAGACATGTATCTTTACTCTCTCTCTCTCTCTCTCTCATTCCTTATCCTTAAGATAGTGTAAGAAACTTAGATATGTGTCAATTTCTCAGTCGTACATTTTACATATTCATAGGTACTCTTATAGTCTCCTCTATTGTCCTACTTAAATGGTCCATGCCACTAAGAGACATACTGAACGACTAAAAGTGTTTCAAATATGTTGAAAAACATCTTTTAAGTATTTGTTTTTTTGGTAACAAAGAATTTCCCCAATCATACTCTTTTTAATTTGTGACTAAAAGACTTAGCAATAAAACAAATGCTTATAATCCATTATCTTCCAAATTAAAAGACTTTACATATTAGTATAGCGAGATTTCAAGTTCACCTCCCTCTAGTTGCTAGAGAGGCCTAATTGTTCCTTTTCGCATAATTTATTCATAATTATGTGTTTCAGAGTTTGCCTTGTGTCCCCAAGGCCTCAATTCTCAATCCATCAGTGGCAGGCCATAAAAGACATGGCTAGTTGCAAGCAATGAACTACTTGTACTGACCGACGCCTTGCTTGTTTCAAACCTGACTCAATCATATGTTCTCCCTCAAATTTTAGAATAGAGGCAAGACTACAGTACCCACAAAACAAATGTGGGTATCATATCAAAAAATAACTTTTGACACCATTATTTGACCTTTAGAATAGACATTAGGACATGAGTGATACATTGTTGGCAATTAATGATTTCTCTTGTCTATATCTGTGCACATAGATCCATTATTAATTACNTCACACTATTTATAAAATACATATGCTGAGTTGGGCTAATATGGACATTATGATGTGACATTAATGTTCACTGTATACACATAACATATACAAGTTTTGACACATGAAAAGTACTATAGTGTGACCCAGAGATCGACACACTGTGGTCATCACAAATGTGCCATTAATGTCACACTGCATATAGACANTGTGCACATAGATCCATTATTAATTACACTCATTGTCTTGTCTTTAACAATCGCAAGTCGCTGCTAGTTTTTGAGTTAAGCAGAGGCATGNAAGATCTTGCACGCACAGTTCTAAACACTATTTTCTTTTTAAAATACTTATGAGTTATGAGAAATTATAAGTTTTATAAATACTTTTAAAAAGTCACTTTAAATACACTTTTAGAGACCTATTTTTTCTATTAAATTTAGAGTGTTAATATTAGCCGTTAGATTAATTTTAAAGTAAAATTTTAAAAAATCTTAACCACGAATAATAAAAGTCATTTTGTTTATCTTTTAAGATTTGAATTGTGTTATCCTTTATTATAACAATAGATAATTTACAAATTAAGTAGTTATATGAGTGATAAGTTGTAAGGACTGAATTACAATTTTTAAGTTAAAAGCGACGTATAATTATTTCACTGTGTGGGTTCCAACCCGGCGCTCCATCCACCAGCGATAAGCATAGGCTATGTGCTGGNTGCAACTACACATCATATGCATTATTTTTTCGTAGTGTTGCCATCAAAAGTGTGACTCCAATGTCGCACTGCAAAACAAATATCATATGCAGTGTTTTGCACAAGGTGAGTATCNCGCTCATTGTCTGTGCTTTCTCATGGATGAACTCAGTTGTAGTCTTGTCTTTAACAATCGCAAGTCGCTGCTAGTTTTTGAGTTAAGCAGAGGCATGGACATGTCAAAGGAAAAAGAATGTAAGCATAACATCGGTTTTTTGGTTCAACGATCAGAAGTGTCCCGACGTGAATAACTTGTTTTGACTGGACTGATGATAGGATTAATCGAGTTGCTGAACATTAGTGAGCTGGCATGAACAAAAGACNTGGTTCAACGATCAGAAGTGTCCCGACGTGAATAACTTGTTTTGATGATAGGATTAATCGAGTTGCTGAACATTAGTGAGCTGGCATGAACAAAAGACACTCAACTGCACAAGGTTGTAGTTTGTTGAAGGAGAGTTAGATCAGATGTAGTCTAAGTGCATNCTGCCATATTTTCAAAAAATAAGGTTCACTTATGCACTTATAAATTTATCATTAGACAATTATATTACATGACAATGTTATCATGGTATAACTGCTACACCTAATATTTACTCAAAAAAACATGACTTTTTTCTTAAAAAAAAAAAGTGGTCTTTATTCCAACCTCATGTAGTATGTACTTTACTAACAAGCTACTAAGTGGGAGAGTTGTTTATGGTAACATGAAAAAAAAAANACACTCAACTGCACAAGGTTGTAGTTTGTTGAAGGAGAGTTAGATCAGATGTAGTCTAAGTGCATATGGCCCCTCCCAATAATGGGTCTAAGAGAGTCAGATGCACAAATATTAGTCTGCAGAGAGATTATTTTTATGACTCACACCCATGATATCCGGATTATATTAGAGCAATTTAACTACTGTGTTAAAACCCGCCCTCTAACTGTTAGCAGGCATACAAATTACTATCGAATGCCAGATTGATACAAGTCATTTGTCTCGTTATTCCCTATCATTGGGTTCCGTTTTTNGTCCTCTAACTGTTAGCAGACATACAAATTACTATCGAATGCCAGATTAAGCCAGATTGATACAAGTCATTTGTCTCGTTATTCCCTATCATTGGGTTCCGTTTTTNATTACGATATTTATTATATTTGTAAGTATTTTTATCACTGTTATGATATTGAGAAAAAAAAGTAGCAAAAATAATTACCACAATGATGATAAAAATACCTATTATATTAGTAAAAAATCAACAAAAGTGATGTTTTTTTTGGATTTTTTAGAAGTTGGTACACTTTTTATAANATTTGTCTCGTTATTCCCTATCATTGGGTTCCGTTTTTCCTGTGGACCAACTTCCTGAAGGGTCTTTTGATCTAAATTCCAACATAATGCAGCTTCCCTGAATGATTTTAGCCCTTTGATCACTACCTCCTCTTATTGTTTAGCAAAGAACAGAAAATTTGCAAAAGAAAAAAAATTCAGTGCTCAAATTCTTGTATAACTGTCGTCAATTCGAGTGCAAAACCTTGTCATGCTGCGCGAGAAGTTAGTGATGGATATTCTTACCCAAAATACGGCATAAAAGAATGCTTCAAGTTCAAACTAACCAGTTTAAACTGTAGCTAGGGTGGTTCTCAGGATATGCCTTTCAATGAGCTGTACCAGCTGAAAGTATAGAGTTAGGTCTCTTCATCTCAAGTTCATAAAAAAAAAACCTCTAGAATAAAGTTAATGAGCTTTATAAGTTTGAGCTTGGAGTAATCTTAAAATGGTAATTATACGTTATCTCTATGAAAAAAGACAAATTTCAAATTTCAAAAATTGATTTCTTAGAATAATGAAAAATAAATTTTCATTAGTCCAAGATTCACAACAGAAGTTGAAGAAGAACAAATAAATTATAATATAACTTCAAAAATAAAGGAAGAAAAAGACTTTTATTAATATGAAAAAAGATAAATTACAATCTTACAATCAAAAGCTTATAAAAGAGAAAGTATGAACAAATTTGAAATGGTAATTATTGTCGGTGATTTGTTTTTTGTTGGGTCGGTGATTTGAGATAGTGAAGGGTCTATTTATTGGTGATTAAAGAAGGATTTAAAAGTTCAACATAGATGGAGGTTTGGAAGGTTCAAGAATTCTAACTTAGTGATAAGAATGTGAAAGTTCTAAATATTTGAAAGAATGATACAAAGTATAAGCATGCACTACAAAATTTTAGATACAATAATTAGCAAAAATTTACTTTAAACTTTTAACGGTCTCTTGTAATTTAGGAGACTCGTATAACAGAAATAGGCCCAATTAGCAATGAACGTTAAACAGTCTCGAAATTAAAGTTGACACATCTGACATCTCACCTTTCTTCCGGAATTTCTCAATGTTAACAGTCTCGAAATTCTCTGCTCTGCGATTTGCCGAAAGAGAAAAATCTCAGTTTCTGTGACAGAGAAGAGTGAAAAGTAAAAAAAATGGAGTCTTGGGTGCCTCTATTCGACATTTTCTTGAACTCCCCATGTCCTGAAACAGAAGCCTCTCTATGGCTACAACAATCTTTCAACCCCTCATCAACCACCACCATCTCCACAAACTCCTTCCTTTCCTTGCTCACAAAACCCGCTGACGCCATTGTTGTCGACTCTTCGTTTCCTTCACCTTCGCAATCTTCTCACACAAATAGGTAATATGAAAGCATTTATGGGGGTCTTAGTTTCCGAAGAAACGAACAGTAACTTGTGGGTTAACGGCACTGAAAAAGTACAACACGGTCTATAAAATTGATTTTGGATCCAATAGTTGCGATAGACAATATCGGGTTGAATAGAAATGAGACCTTTTTGTGTTTGAATGCATATATATTTGCATGGTTGTTTAATTTTTTTCACCAAAGTGCGTTTATCTGTTGTTAATGGGCAGGGTAACGTGGATTCGGACACTGCCAAATGCAGTTCAAGCACGAATCCTATCGTTTCTTGCATTCGAGCACCGGAGGTTTGGCACGCAAGACTTGTCTAAACTTGCCACGGATATGTTGAGTGAGAGTGATGAACTGGATTTTTGGGTAAAGAGAGCTGCACGCCAGCTGCTTGACGTAGTGTCTGACTCCAATTATGAGTGGGTATCTTGTTTGAATATGGATTCAGAACAAGAAAAAGTGGATGATGATTTTGGGTCGTTGCCAGATTGGCTTAAGGATGCGGCAAATACCAGTGACTTGGTTCTTCCATGGCTTCCTATATCCCCTGATCGATTAAATTTGAGAATATCATTTAGTAGTAGTGGTGGGAATGAAGATTCGTTGATTGAAGTTGAAGAGGATGTACAAGAGGGCTCAGATGAAGTTATGACAGACGTTGATGTTGTCAATCCAAAAAATGATCCCATTCACCCCGAAGTTGAAAAGNAATATTTAAAAAAAGTCAAAGTATATTTGTTCACAAAATATTTACACAAAAAATGACTTATACACAGAAGATTTATATTCAATTACTTCTTCACAAATAACTAGTGTATAGTGTAGTTTTTAACAATTTTTTCTAACTTTTTTGTACAAAAAAAAACGATGAAAATAATTACCACAATAGTGACAAAAATATCCTTAAAAGTGGTAAATTCTTGACAAAAGTGACAAATTTTTTAATTATAAAATAACCCAACAAAATTATAAAAAACCCATCAAAATAATAAATTTAGAAAATACAATACTAAAAAAAAAATTTCGATGACTGTGTCCTAAGTGGGTGGAGGATTGATAATGGCAGTACTAAAGACAGAAAGAAAAACCTAGAAGGTGGTAGTTGCTTTCATATAAAGCTGGTTGCAATAAGAAGTTTGTTTTTTGTCAAATAAAGCTGGAGGAGAATTAATGGTGGCACTGGCAGTACCCTTTCCTCTGAAACCAAGTCCTTGCAAATAATTTACCTATGTTATATGATATCAAAGCTCAAAAAGTATTTGATATGGACACATATCTATTGATGGACCACACACCAACGTGAAGGATATTAAAGTTATTTTACTTTTGCTATATAACACAGTTTGGGGTGCATTTTAATGCATAAATCAGTCGAGCAAAATACCCAAGATGCTTATAGCGGAGTGTGGGTGAGATAAGTGATAAGCAAGTTTTTTTGTTTTAATTTAGGAAAGATTGATTTTCAAATCCGAAATGCAAAATATATACAAGCAAATATAAACATCCTAGCATAACACAGATACCGAAAATTAACAGTATATATAATTAGTTGAAAATTAAAAAGTAGAATGAGTATAGAAAAACAGAGGTGGCTACCAAGAGCAGTCCTCTACCATGCCAACATTTTCTTAAGCAGACAATTACAGTGGAGTAAATTAACTATATGACAAAAGTGAGCCAAAAGATGCCCTAAAACTAAATATGTGATTTTCACAACTTTTATAGACATGTATCTTTACTCTCTCTCTCTCTCTCTCTCTTTCCTTATCCTTAAGATAGTGTAAGAAACTTAGATATGTGTCAATTTCTCAGTCGTACATTTTACATATTCATAGGTACTCTTATAGTCTCCTCTATTGTCCTACTTAAATGGTCCATGCCACTAAGAGACATACTGAACGACTAAAAGTGTTTCAAATATGTTGAAAAACATCTTTTAAGTATTTGTTTTTTTGGTAACAAAGAATTTCCCCAATCATACTCTTTTTAATTTGTGACTAAAAGACTTAGCAATAAAACAAATGCTTATAATCCATTATCTTCCAAATTAAAAGACTTTACATATTAGTATAGCGAGATTTCAAGTTCACCTCCCTCTAGTTGCTAGAGAGGCCTAATTGTTCCTTTTCGCATAATTTATTCATAATTATGTGTTTCAGAGTTTGCCTTGTGTCCCCAAGGCCTCAATTCTCAATCCATCAGTGGCAGGCCATAAAAGACATGGCTAGTTGCAAGCAATGAACTACTTGTACTGACCGACGCCTTGCTTGTTTCAAACCTGACTCAATCATATGTTCTCCCTCAAATTTTAGAATAGAGGCAAGACTACAGTACCCACAAAACAAATGTGGGTATCATATCAAAAAATAACTTTTGACACCATTATTTGACCTTTAGAATAGACATTAGGACATGAGTGATACATTGTTGGCAATTAATGATTTCTCTTGTCTATATCTGTGCACATAGATCCATTATTAATTACGCTCATTGTCTGTGCTTTCTCATGGATGAACTCAGTTGTAGTCTTGTCTTTAACAATCGCAAGTCGCTGCTAGTTTTTGAGTTAAGCAGAGGCATGGACATGTCAAAGGAAAAAGAATGTAAGCATAACATCGGTTTTTTGGTTCAACGATCAGAAGTGTCCCGACGTGAATAACTTGTTTTGACGATAGGATTAATCGAGTTGCTGAACATTAGTGAGCTGGCATGAACAAAAGACACTCAACTGCACAAGGTTGTAGTTTGTTGAAGGAGAGTTAGATCAGATGTAGTCTAAGTGCATATGGCCCCTCCCAATAATGGGTCTAAGAGAGTCAGATGCACAAATATTAGTCTGCAGAGAGATTATTTTTATGACTCACACCCATGATATCCGGATTATATTAGAGCAATTTAACTACTGTGTTAAAACCCGTCCTCTAACTGTTAGCAGACATACAAATTACTATCGAATGCCAGATTAAGCCAGATTGATACAAGTCATTTGTCTCGTTATTCCCTATCATTGGGTTCCGTTTTTCCTGTGGACCAACTTCCTGAAGGGTCTTTTGATCTAAATTCCAACATAATGCAGCTTCCCTGAATGATTTTAGCCCTTTGATCACTACCTCCTCTTATTGTTTAGCAAAGAACAGAAAATTTGCAAAAGAAAAAAAATTCAGTGCTCAAATTCTTGTATAACTGTCGTCAATTCGAGTGCAAAACCTTGTCATGCTGCGCGAGAAGTTAGTGATGGATATTCTTACCCAAAATACGGCATAAAAGAATGCTTCAAGTTCAAACTAACCAGTTTAAACTGTAGCTAGGGTGGTTCTCAGGATATGCCTTTCAATGAGCTGTACCAGCTGAAAGTATAGAGTTAGGTCTCTTCATCTCAAGTTCATAAAAAAAAAACCTCTAGAATAAAGTTAATGAGCTTTATAAGTTTGAGCTTGGAGTAATCTTAAAATGGTAATTATACGTTATCTCTATGAAAAAAGACAAATTTCAAATTTCAAAAATTGATTTCTTAGAATAATGAAAAATAAATTTTCATTAGTCCAAGATTCACAACAGAAGTTGAAGAAGAACAAATAAATTATAATATAACTTCAAAAATAAAGGAAGAAAAAGACTTTTATTAATATGAAAAAAGATAAATTACAATCTTACAATCAAAAGCTTATAAAAGAGAAAGTATGAACAAATTTGAAATGGTAATTATTGTCGGTGATTTGTTTTTTGTTGGGTCGGTGATTTGAGATAGTGAAGGGTCTATTTATTGGTGATTAAAGAAGGATTTAAAAGTTCAACATAGATGGAGGTTTGGAAGGTTCAAGAATTCTAACTTAGTGATAAGAATGTGAAAGTTCTAAATATTTGAAAGAATGATACAAAGTATAAGCATGCACTACAAAATTTTAGATACAATAATTAGCAAAAATTTACTTTAAACTTTTAACGGTCTCTTGTAATTTAGGAGACTCGTATAACAGAAATAGGCCCAATTAGCAATGAACGTTAAACAGTCTCGAAATTAAAGTTGACACATCTGACATCTCACCTTTCTTCCGGAATTTCTCAATGTTAACAGTCTCGAAATTCTCTGCTCTGCGATTTGCCGAAAGAGAAAAATCTCAGTTTCTGTGACAGAGAAGAGTGAAAAGTAAAAAAAATGGAGTCTTGGGTGCCTCTATTCGACATTTTCTTCAACTCCCCATGTCCTGAAACAGAAGCCTCTCTATGGCTACAACAATCTTTCAACCCCTCATCAACCACCACCATCTCCACAAACTCCTTCCTTTCCTTGCTCACAAAACCCGCTGACGCCATTGTTGTCGACTCTTCGTTTCCTTCACCTTCGCAATCTTCTCACACAAATAGGTAATATGAAAGCATTTATGGGGGTCTTAGTTTCCGAAGAAACGAACAGTAACTTGTGGGTTAACGGCACTGAAAAAGTACAACACGGTCTATAAAATTGATTTTGGATCCAATAGTTGCGATAGACAATATCGGGTTGAATAGAAATGAGACCTTTTTGTGTTTGAATGCATATATATTTGCATGGTTGTTTAATTTTTTTCACCAAAGTGCGTTTATCTGTTGTTAATGGGCAGGGTAACGTGGATTCGGACACTGCCAAATGCAGTTCAAGCACGAATCCTATCGTTTCTTGCATTCGAGCACCGGAGGTTTGGCACGCAAGACTTGTCTAAACTTGCCACGGATATGTTGAGTGAGAGTGATGAACTGGATTTTTGGGTAAAGAGAGCTGCACGCCAGCTGCTTGACGTAGTGTCTGACTCCAATTATGAGTGGGTATCTTGTTTGAATATGGATTCAGAACAAGAAAAAGTGGATGATGATTTTGGGTCGTTGCCAGATTGGCTTAAGGATGCGGCAAATACCAGTGACTTGGTTCTTCCATGGCTTCCTATATCCCCTGATCGATTAAATTTGAGAATATCATTTAGTAGTAGTGGTGGGAATGAAGATTCGTTGATTGAAGTTGAAGAGGATGTACAAGAGGGCTCAGATGAAGTTATGACAGACGTTGATGTTGTCAATCCAAAAAATGATCCCATTCACCCCGAAGTTGAAAAGAAGGCCAGTAGTTTGAAAGCCGTTCATTAAATTTTGAATCTACTTCTAAAAATGTTGGATTGGCTGATGAAATTTGCCAACTAGCGTTGAAAGAGGAGGAGATTCTTTGGAAATTTTGGGTTTGATTGAGCCTTGGAAAGTGGATGATGAGATAACATTCATTTTGATTTCTCAGCTTTCAAGTGGAAATCAAGATGAACTCAGCTGGCCAAGTCATGTTCTATGCTCAATTATGCTTCCTAAGCTTTAGTATTTGAGGAACCACTGAACCAGCTTCTTGTCTGCTTGTGGCTGCTACAATAGAATACTGCAAGCTTCATCAGAGGGCTGCAGTTTTGCTCTGTTGCATCCATTTACTCTCCGAACAGAGGGTGTTAACACTCATATTTGTGAGGTGATGACGAGAATCATCAAAGAATGCTTGCACCCTGCTTATGTTTCTGCCTTCTGCCAAAAACTACTATGTGGAGAAGAAGAAGTGCGGAAATTCATTTGCATTCCCTGCCACCAATGCCTGCTAAGGCTGATAACAAATGAACTGGTATGGACGGAGCCATCGTTTAACTTGTTTCAGAATATCTTGAATCATAATATTACTATGACCCAAGATTCAGTTGATCAACTTGTCTATAGAGNTTGTTTAACTTGTTTCAGAATATCTTGAATCATAATATTACTATGACCCAAGATTCAGCTGATCAACTTGTCTATAGAGCTTGCGAATCCACAGACAACTTTTCCAAATTTTTGAAGTTTGGGAACTTTTTATTATGCTTAGTCAACAAATCTGCACCTTTATTGAAGTCTCACAAGCTTTTATTAACTGAAGCTGTTGAGCATACTAATACTTTTTATGACCAAATCCATCCTATCAAAACTGGCTAGCTTGTGATTGCTTATATTATTGTCTATGGAAGGTTTTCCTTGCTGCGGGCTTCAGCTACTTAGACAGTTCAGAAATTTTGAATAACTTGGGTGTCGGTTTAAAACTCTTTCTGATCTTACCTAGCTAGGACCATTTATAGGAATGCTGTTTCTCTGGTTTTATTGCAGCAAACTACTTTTTTATTTCTCAGTTTTGATCCACAGAGTTGTCTCATTTTTGATAAACTTGAAATGATAGTTTCCATTGTGCACTGTAAATAATGATTATGCTGTGATGTTTTCACCCAAATCCTTGCCATTGAATGTTGTAAAGAGCTAAAATCTCTCTTATTGCTGTATCTAAATATTGCTTTGGATGCCCTAATTTTATATCAACCGTGACCAACACCCCCCCCCCCCAAAAAAAAAAAAGGAAAAAGAAAAAATAATAAAATGAAGAGCAGTAGATATGAAAATGTGAAGAGGAGTTGACTGAAATGAACCTTTTGGGATATCTTGGTTGATTGATGGCAAATTTTATGCAAAGCATTCTGCTACTTTGCTAGGCTATAATGTCCAACAACTTATATTCTTCGTCAGTCATAATTTACAATAGTGTACTTCAATGCAGGGGGATATTATATATTTTGATGCATGTATGTCATAAAGAAAGCTAATAAAGGCAATGGTCTGGGTAGGAATGAGTCTGATCTTGAACATGCAAAGATGATGTGAACTCTCACTCAATCAGTTCAATGGAGGGAAGTTTTTGTTGAGAAGGACCATATTTAGCATGGTGCTTTCGTAAATGAGATAGCCCTACTGATGCCATTTAGCTATAGGTCAGCCCATTGATTAGTATAGCTATTTTTTTATCATTACAGATTGTGACCGACTCTGATGAAACCATTCTTTGATTGGGCATAGAAGGATAAAGGAAGCAGTATATATTAGCTTCTCTTGAACTTTAAAGGAAACTTAGCCAACACACCCACCACTCTGAAAAAAGGGGCAACAAGGGTTGACGGTGCACACATACATAGTTACTAATACATATGATATGGGCTAATTATTTGGTCTCTCACAGTAGAGGACTCTAGTGCCCATTGGTCATTTTCTTCATGGACTCAAATCTGGTACCCTTGTCTCCAAACTTGGTTTGGGCGTAAAGGTTCAGATAATCTTGAAAACGGAAGTGATTGGGATATAATAGCTTGGGAGCTGGAGAGATTATAGCATCACCAGCTGGATTGTAGAAGGTGGCAATGGAGAGTCTGCTTCCGTTTTTGTTTGTCATGACACGGTGCAAAGCACTTTTGTACATTCCATTGGTCAAAACTTCCAATTGTTCGCCTGTGTTAATGAAGATGGAGTTATTCTTGGAAGGTGGAATCTCTACCCATTGCCCATCATTGAAGAATTCGAGACCAGGTACTTTGTCATCTTGGAGCAAAAGAATAATCCCACCAGCATCTGTGTGCTCACGCAGTCCTCTGACTAGTTCAGGGTTATGGCATTGAGGGTATTTTGCAACTTTTGTCCCCACCGAAGGACCTTTGCTTCCTGTAAATGCTTCCCTTATATAACCCTTCTCCAAACCCAGATTCTCGCACATAAGTTCTGAAAGCTTTTCTGCCAAGTTGATCAGTTGATCAATGTATCCATCCATTGTTTTGCTGAATAAATGCTCCATTCGTTAGTCAATTAGCACATTTGCACATGATTTGAAAGTTAAGACTTGCACAAATACCAAGCCGCATTGCGTAGGATGTCCAGTGAGTAATTCTTATAATATCTTATACTAATTATGCATTGTGTGTGCTTATGTGTCCTGTTTTGCAAGTTCAAAGAGCATTATCATTCATGCTAAAAGCCGGACAGATGGTTTTGATGACAACTTACCGAAGATCCTCCGAGAGGCAGGTAATCTCATCGATGTTTGAGTTTGGACGATGCCAAATGAAAAAGGTGCTTTCCCAGTCTATGTTAGTGGTATTGCCTGTATTCTCCACGCTCTTTGCTATTTCCGAGTCGTAGAACCTCTTCTTCATGTTCTCTTTATAATGTTGATTCACCAACTGCTTCACCTTGTCCATCAACTCTTTATCAATTCCATGGTTCTCAATCTGCAGATATCAAACCAACTTGTATCACAATGGAGGTTCTCATCAAAGGCTTAATTTATGTACTTAAATGACATTGTGATTTTACCTGAAAGAAGCCCCATTTCTCACAGGCCTGGTGGAGAAGCGCCATTGTTTTGCTTCTCTTCTCACCATCAAGCTCATTGATGTCTATCACAGGGATCTCCATCTCTCTCTTTCTCTCTCTCTTTCTAATTCAGAATGAGGAAGATATGAAAGTTGGCGTAGTATATATAGGCATTTGGCATAGGTGTAGATGTTGTTGCCAATATTAATATTTGGGGCAGTTACATTTGAAAAAATGGTAGTTGCAATTAACCGTAAACTCATTGAGGTATTGGATGCAACAGTTATACCATGTCAACAATATTGATGTGATGTAATCATCTAATAAAAAAAACTACAAAATAGATAAAATCGAGCTCATTTCTTATCATGAAGGTAGCTATGTATTACACAGCTGGGTGATTAAAAATTTTTACGGGATTCATTTGCAAATTTGTTTACTTATTAATGAATTATTACACAACATCTGTAGTGTTACACAATGTAACGGTTATACCCAAAAACTTTTCCTCATTGGGAGGAGAATTGTTTGGGTGCCTTGAAAAGAGCAAAGATAATAAATGGGTCTAAGTTCTGATCACCATCCGCACCACCACCACCACCACCATGTGATTAGTCTAGTTTTTAGCCGACCTCTTTCTTATACACCAAGTTTTCTCCTCCATTTGCTAGGAAAGAATTTCCCGGATAATATGTTTCCTTCCATGTGAGACCCTTTTTTCTAGTTTCTACTTATACAATATGCATCAACTAGGCTTTATTCTATGCTATTTTTTTTTATAAGAATACTTTTCTGTGAGTGGGTTTTCTTTCTTTGTATTGCAATTCTTCTTTGTTTAAGTAAACCTAGGGGCTGTGTGACATTGAATGAGTTGCCTTCAAACAGCAAACAGTGCTAGGAAAGGACCACATAAATCTTGCTGTGGGCGGTTTTGGATATAAGTATTAGAAGTGCCACACTGCATTTATTGATTGTGACATTTAAACTTGCTTCTTACTCTGGTTCATATAGGTCTTCCCAAAATTGGACTTTCATTGATCAATCCTTCTGACTACATTTTTTTTTAGTTTAACAGTTAAGGATGTCTGATCTAGTTTACGCGCACTTCGATTAATTTTTTTTTTGGTCCAGTTAAAGGTAAATCATCTATGCCGGGACTAAAATATTAATGAGAAATAAATCTTTCATAATCTAACTCCAAATAATTATCAAAATTTAAACATGACCCCAAAAAGAATGTCCGGGCCAACTTCCAACTACTTTGCTAATGAGCCTTGGATTCATCGTGGATGGTTATGAAATGATCATTGCATATGTCATTTAGAGGTGTTTCTAAGAGAGAGAGAGAGAGAGAATCACACATGCAATCTAGGGGCTGGGGAACATTTGCTGTGGGTATGGCTCGACCCCGCTCTAATTGCGTCGGGGCAAGGTTGCCAATTAGGTGCACCAACCACTGGGTCCAATTAGAGGAAATTTTTGTTATTATGATGATAAAAAATATTATTTGACCTTAATTTATTAACTTGATTTAATGCATTTAAACTGATAGCAAATCACAATTAATATTAGAGGTCACTATTAATACATTGTGATCCAAAAATTAGTTTGCCCGGTCCTAACTTGAGTGGTCGTGGAATGGCCACGACTCTCACCTAAGTCTGTGGGACAGCGATAGGCCGGGTTGTTTGTTCGGCCTGCAAAGCCTCGCCCCAAACCCTCCCAATTTTTTGGTTTCTAGTATTAAGTTTGAGTAATGCTATTGAGACCTAATTTACTAATATAATTTGTCGACTTAATTCATTATGATATTTGAATTCACTGTAGACCTATTAAACATTAGAATTTGGTATTGATCTAATAATTCTTATGAAGTTATATCATTATACTAGCAAATTAATTCAAATTTTTAGATATATATAATATNTTTTGTTTGTCATGACACGGTGCAAAGCACTTTTGTACATTCCATTGGTCAAAACTTCCAATTGTTCGCCTGTGTTAATGAAGATGGAGTTATTCTTGGAAGGTGGAATCTCTACCCATTGCCCATCATTGAAGAATTCGAGACCAGGTACTTTGTCATCTTGGAGCAAAAGAATAATCCCACCAGCATCTGTGTGCTCACGCAGTCCTCTGACTAGTTCAGGGTTATGGCATTGAGGGTATTTTGCAACTTTTGTCCCCACCGAAGGACCTTTGCTTCCTGTAAATGCTTCCCTTATATAACCCTTCTCCAAACCCAGATTCTCGCACATAAGTTCTGAAAGCTTTTCTGCCAAGTTGATCAGTTGATCAATGTATCCATCCATTGTTTTGCTGAATAAATGCTCCATTCGTTAGTCAATTAGCACATTTGCACATGATTTGAAAGTTAAGACTTGCACAAATACCAAGCCGCATTGCGTAGGATGTCCAGTGAGTAATTCTTATAATATCTTATACTAATTATGCATTGTGTGTGCTTATGTGTCCTGTTTTGCAAGTTCAAAGAGCATTATCATTCATGCTAAAAGCCGGACAGATGGTTTTGATGACAACTTACCGAAGATCCTCCGAGAGGCAGGTAATCTCATCGATGTTTGAGTTTGGACGATGCCAAATGAAAAAGGTGCTTTCCCAGTCTATGTTAGTGGTATTGCCTGTATTCTCCACGCTCTTTGCTATTTCCGAGTCGTAGAACCTCTTCTTCATGTTCTCTTTATAATGTTGATTCACCAACTGCTTCACCTTGTCCATCAACTCTTTATCAATTCCATGGTTCTCAATCTGCAGATATCAAACCAACTTGTATCACAATGGAGGTTCTCATCAAAGGCTTAATTTATGTACTTAAATGACATTGTGATTTTACCTGAAAGAAGCCCCATTTCTCACAGGCCTGGTGGAGAAGCGCCATTGTTTTGCTTCTCTTCTCACCATCAAGCTCATTGATGTCTATCACAGGGATCTCCATCTCTCTCTTTCTCTCTCTCTTTCTAATTCAGAATGAGGAAGATATGAAAGTTGGCGTAGTATATATAGGCATTTGGCATAGGTGTAGATGTTGTTGCCAATATTAATATTTGGGGGCAGTTACATTTGAAAAAATGGTAGTTGCAATTAACCGTAAACTGATTGAGGTATTGGATGCAACAGTTATACCATGTCAACAATATTGATGTGATGTAATCATCTAATAAAAAAAACTACAAAATAGATAAAATCAAGCTCATTTCTTATCATGAAGGTAGCTATGTATTACACAGCTGGGTGATTAAAAATTTTTACGGGATTCATTTGCAAATTTGTTTACTTATTAATGAATTATTACACAACATCTGTAGTGTTACACAATGTAACGGTTATACCCAAAAACTTTTCCTCATTGGGAGGAGAATTGTTTGGGTGCCTTGAAAAGAGCAAAGATAATAAATGGGTCTAAGTTCTGATCACCATCCGCACCACCACCACCACCACCATGTGATTAGTCTAGTTTTTAGCCGACCTCTTTCTTATACACCAAGTTTTCTCCTCCATTTGCTAGGAAAGAATTTCCCGGATAATATGTTTCCTTCCATGTGAGACCCTTTTTTCTAGTTTCTACTTATACAATATGCATCAACTAGGCTTTATTCTATGCTATTTTTTTTTATAAGAATACTTTTCTGTGAGTGGGTTTTCTTTCTTTGTATTGCAATTCTTCTTTGTTTAAGTAAACCTAGGGGCTGTGTGACATTGAATGAGTTGCCTTCAAACAGCAAACAGTGCTAGGAAAGGACCACATAAATCTTGCTGTGGGCGGTTTTGGATATAAGTATTAGAAGTGCCACACTGCATTTATTGATTGTGACATTTAAACTTGCTTCTTACTCTGGTTCATATAGGTCTTCCCAAAATTGGACTTTCATTGATCAATCCTTCTGACTACATTTTTTTTTAGTTTAACAGTTAAGGATGTCTGATCTAGTTTACGCGCACTTCGATTAATTTTTTTTTTGGTCCAGTTAAAGGTAAATCATCTATGCCGGGACTAAAATATTAATGAGAAATAAATCTTTCATAATCTAACTCCAAATAATTATCAAAATTTAAACATGACCCCAAAAAGAATGTCCGGGCCAACTTCCAACTACTTTGCTAATGAGCCTTGGATTCATCGTGGATGGTTATGAAATGATCATTGCATATGTCATTTAGAGGTGTTTCTAAGAGAGAGAGAGAGAGAGAATCACACATGCAATCTAGGGGCTGGGGAACATTTGCTGTGGGTATGGCTCGACCCCGCTCTAATTGCGTCGGGGCAAGGTTGCCAATTAGGTGCACCAACCACTGGGTCCAATTAGAGGAAATTTTTGTTATTATGATGATAAAAAATATTATTTGACCTTAATTTATTAACTTGATTTAATGCATTTAAACTGATAGCAAATCACAATTAATATTAGAGGTCACTATTAATACATTGTGATCCAAAAATTAGTTTGCCCGGTCCTAACTTGAGTGGTCGTGGAATGGCCACGACTCTCACCTAAGTCTGTGGGACAGCGATAGGCCGGGTTGTTTGTTCGGCCTGCAAAGCCTCGCCCCAAACCCTCCCAATTTTTTGGTTTCTAGTATTAAGTTTGATTAATGCTATTGAGACCTAATTTACTAATATAATTTGTCGACTTAATTCATTATGATATTTGAATTCACTGTAGACCTATTAAACATTAGAATTTGGTGTTAATCCAATAATTCTTATGAAATTATATCATTATACCAGCAAATTAATTCAAATTTTTAGATATATATAATATTACTCATTAAGTTTGTGTTAAAATTCATAGATTATAAAAAAAAATAGATAATTTATAAATTAATTAGTTATATGAGTGATAAGTTGTAAGTAATGAATTACAATTTATAAGTTAAAAGTGACGTATAATTTTATTAGGGGTGTTCAAATTTTTGATTGCTAATAAATTCTGACCCTATTCTACCCTACTTGATTCTATTGGTTGGCTGCCCAAAAGAATCGAAAGGCCAATGAAATTTTTTTTGGTATCTTGCAAAAAATCAAATAAGAATACAGAATACCTATAAAATTTTCGTATTTTTACTCTATCTTACCCGCATATAGAAACCATAATATTTTATTAATGTTTATGCCTTTTTTATATATGATATATTGATATTTATGGCTTTCTTGTTGTATTTTATTGTAATTGTTTATGTATTACTGAATTTATTGTGTTTTATTTAGCGTTAATAGTTTATTGTGTAAGTTAATTGATATAGGTTACTTAATTAAATTGTTAAAATGATTCAAAAATTAATAANCATGATTTGAAAGTTAAGACTTGCACAAATACCAAGCCGCATTGCGTAGGATGTCCAGTGAGTAATTCTTATAATATCTTATACTAATTATGCATTGTGTGTGCTTATGTGTCCTGTTTTGCAAGTTCAAAGAGCATTATCATTCATGCTAAAAGCCGGACAGATGGTTTTGATGACAACTTACCGAAGATCCTCCGAGAGGCAGGTAATCTCATCGATGTTTGAGTTTGGACGATGCCAAATGAAAAAGGTGCTTTCCCAGTCTATGTTAGTGGTATTGCCTGTATTCTCCACGCTCTTTGCTATTTCCGAGTCGTAGAACCTCTTCTTCATGTTCTCTTTATAATGTTGATTCACCAACTGCTTCACCTTGTCCATCAACTCTTTATCAATTCCATGGTTCTCAATCTGCAGATATCAAACCAACTTGTATCACAATGGAGGTTCTCATCAAAGGCTTAATTTATGTACTTAAATGACATTGTGATTTTACCTGAAAGAAGCCCCATTTCTCACAGGCCTGGTGGAGAAGCGCCATTGTTTTGCTTCTCTTCTCACCATCAAGCTCATTGATGTCTATCACAGGGATCTCCATCTCTCTCTTTCTCTCTCTCTTTCTAATTCAGAATGAGGAAGATATGAAAGTTGGCGTAGTATATATAGGCATTTGGCATAGGTGTAGATGTTGTTGCCAATATTAATATTTGGGGGCAGTTACATTTGAAAAAATGGTAGTTGCAATTAACCGTAAACTGATTGAGGTATTGGATGCAACAGTTATACCATGTCAACAATATTGATGTGATGTAATCATCTAATAAAAAAAACTACAAAATAGATAAAATCAAGCTCATTTCTTATCATGAAGGTAGCTATGTATTACACAGCTGGGTGATTAAAAATTTTTACGGGATTCATTTGCAAATTTGTTTACTTATTAATGAATTATTACACAACATCTGTAGTGTTACACAATGTAACGGTTATACCCAAAAACTTTTCCTCATTGGGAGGAGAATTGTTTGGGTGCCTTGAAAAGAGCAAAGATAATAAATGGGTCTAAGTTCTGATCACCATCCGCACCACCACCACCACCACCATGTGATTAGTCTAGTTTTTAGCCGACCTCTTTCTTATACACCAAGTTTTCTCCTCCATTTGCTAGGAAAGAATTTCCCGGATAATATGTTTCCTTCCATGTGAGACCCTTTTTTCTAGTTTCTACTTATACAATATGCATCAACTAGGCTTTATTCTATGCTATTTTTTTTTATAAGAATACTTTTCTGTGAGTGGGTTTTCTTTCTTTGTATTGCAATTCTTCTTTGTTTAAGTAAACCTAGGGGCTGTGTGACATTGAATGAGTTGCCTTCAAACAGCAAACAGTGCTAGGAAAGGACCACATAAATCTTGCTGTGGGCGGTTTTGGATATAAGTATTAGAAGTGCCACACTGCATTTATTGATTGTGACATTTAAACTTGCTTCTTACTCTGGTTCATATAGGTCTTCCCAAAATTGGACTTTCATTGATCAATCCTTCTGACTACATTTTTTTTTAGTTTAACAGTTAAGGATGTCTGATCTAGTTTACGCGCACTTCGATTAATTTTTTTTTTGGTCCAGTTAAAGGTAAATCATCTATGCCGGGACTAAAATATTAATGAGAAATAAATCTTTCATAATCTAACTCCAAATAATTATCAAAATTTAAACATGACCCCAAAAAGAATGTCCGGGCCAACTTCCAACTACTTTGCTAATGAGCCTTGGATTCATCGTGGATGGTTATGAAATGATCATTGCATATGTCATTTAGAGGTGTTTCTAAGAGAGAGAGAGAGAGAGAATCACACATGCAATCTAGGGGCTGGGGAACATTTGCTGTGGGTATGGCTCGACCCCGCTCTAATTGCGTCGGGGCAAGGTTGCCAATTAGGTGCACCAACCACTGGGTCCAATTAGAGGAAATTTTTGTTATTATGATGATAAAAAATATTATTTGACCTTAATTTATTAACTTGATTTAATGCATTTAAACTGATAGCAAATCACAATTAATATTAGAGGTCACTATTAATACATTGTGATCCAAAAATTAGTTTGCCCGGTCCTAACTTGAGTGGTCGTGGAATGGCCACGACTCTCACCTAAGTCTGTGGGACAGCGATAGGCCGGGTTGTTTGTTCGGCCTGCAAAGCCTCGCCCCAAACCCTCCCAATTTTTTGGTTTCTAGTATTAAGTTTGAGTAATGCTATTGAGACCTAATTTACTAATATAATTTGTCGACTTAATTCATTATGATATTTGAATTCACTGTAGACCTATTAAACATTAGAATTTGGTATTGATCTAATAATTCTTATGAAGTTATATCATTATACTAGCAAATTAATTCAAATTTTTAGATATATATAATATTACTCATTAAGTTTTGTGTTAAAATTCATAGATTATAAAAAAAAATAGATAATTTATAAATTAATTAGTTATATGAGTGATAAGTTGTAAGTAATGAATTACAATTTATAAGTTAAAAGTGACGTATAATTTTATTAGGGGTGTTCAAATTTTTGATTGCTAATAAATTCTGACCCTATTCTACCCTACTTGATTCTATTGGTTGGCTGCCCAAAAGAATCGAAAGGCCAATGAAATTTTTTTTGGTATCTTGCAAAAAATCAAATAAGAATACAGAATACCTATAAAATTTTCGTATTTTTACTCTATCTTACCCGCATATAGAAACCATAATATTTTATTAATGTTTATGCCTTTTTTATATATGATATATTGATATTTATGGCTTTCTTGTTGTATTTTATTGTAATTGTTTATGTATTACTGAATTTATTGTGTTTTATTTAGCGTTAATAGTTTATTGTGTAAGTTAATTGATATAGGTTACTTAATTAAATTGTTAAAATGATTCAAAAATTAATAATTTAAAAATATGTATTTTCTCGATATTCTATCCGATTAATTTAGACGGAATTTGGGTAAAAATAATACGTTTATCGGGTAGGATTGACCAAAAAAAAAAAATTTCCGCCAAATATCAGATAAAATATCAAAATTCTTACTTAGGGTAGGGTGACCACACCTAAATTCCGCTATATGGTTTCCAACCCGGCGCTCTACCCACCATCGACAAGCATGGCCTAACTCCTTACCTGATACCAACCTTGTTCGGCTTCATTACTATGTGGAGTTGGGCCAGCCAGAAGTCGGTCTCTGCCGACANAATGGAGGTTCTCATCAAAGGCTTAATTTATGTACTTAAATGACATTGTGATTTTACCTGAAAGAAGCCCCATTTCTCACAGGCCTGGTGGAGAAGCGCCATTGTTTTGCTTCTCTTCTCACCATCAAGCTCATTGATGTCTATCACAGGGATCTCCATCTCTCTCTTTCTCTCTCTCTTTCTAATTCAGAATGAGGAAGATATGAAAGTTGGCGTAGTATATATAGGCATTTGGCATAGGTGTAGATGTTGTTGCCAATATTAATATTTGGGGGCAGTTACATTTGAAAAAATGGTAGTTGCAATTAACCGTAAACTGATTGAGGTATTGGATGCAACAGTTATACCATGTCAACAATATTGATGTGATGTAATCATCTAATAAAAAAAACTACAAAATAGATAAAATCAAGCTCATTTCTTATCATGAAGGTAGCTATGTATTACACAGCTGGGTGATTAAAAATTTTTACGGGATTCATTTGCAAATTTGTTTACTTATTAATGAATTATTACACAACATCTGTAGTGTTACACAATGTAACGGTTATACCCAAAAACTTTTCCTCATTGGGAGGAGAATTGTTTGGGTGCCTTGAAAAGAGCAAAGATAATAAATGGGTCTAAGTTCTGATCACCATCCGCACCACCACCACCACCACCATGTGATTAGTCTAGTTTTTAGCCGACCTCTTTCTTATACACCAAGTTTTCTCCTCCATTTGCTAGGAAAGAATTTCCCGGATAATATGTTTCCTTCCATGTGAGACCCTTTTTTCTAGTTTCTACTTATACAATATGCATCAACTAGGCTTTATTCTATGCTATTTTTTTTTATAAGAATACTTTTCTGTGAGTGGGTTTTCTTTCTTTGTATTGCAATTCTTCTTTGTTTAAGTAAACCTAGGGGCTGTGTGACATTGAATGAGTTGCCTTCAAACAGCAAACAGTGCTAGGAAAGGACCACATAAATCTTGCTGTGGGCGGTTTTGGATATAAGTATTAGAAGTGCCACACTGCATTTATTGATTGTGACATTTAAACTTGCTTCTTACTCTGGTTCATATAGGTCTTCCCAAAATTGGACTTTCATTGATCAATCCTTCTGACTACATTTTTTTTTAGTTTAACAGTTAAGGATGTCTGATCTAGTTTACGCGCACTTCGATTAATTTTTTTTTTGGTCCAGTTAAAGGTAAATCATCTATGCCGGGACTAAAATATTAATGAGAAATAAATCTTTCATAATCTAACTCCAAATAATTATCAAAATTTAAACATGACCCCAAAAAGAATGTCCGGGCCAACTTCCAACTACTTTGCTAATGAGCCTTGGATTCATCGTGGATGGTTATGAAATGATCATTGCATATGTCATTTAGAGGTGTTTCTAAGAGAGAGAGAGAGAGAGAATCACACATGCAATCTAGGGGCTGGGGAACATTTGCTGTGGGTATGGCTCGACCCCGCTCTAATTGCGTCGGGGCAAGGTTGCCAATTAGGTGCACCAACCACTGGGTCCAATTAGAGGAAATTTTTGTTATTATGATGATAAAAAATATTATTTGACCTTAATTTATTAACTTGATTTAATGCATTTAAACTGATAGCAAATCACAATTAATATTAGAGGTCACTATTAATACATTGTGATCCAAAAATTAGTTTGCCCGGTCCTAACTTGAGTGGTCGTGGAATGGCCACGACTCTCACCTAAGTCTGTGGGACAGCGATAGGCCGGGTTGTTTGTTCGGCCTGCAAAGCCTCGCCCCAAACCCTCCCAATTTTTTGGTTTCTAGTATTAAGTTTGAGTAATGCTATTGAGACCTAATTTACTAATATAATTTGTCGACTTAATTCATTATGATATTTGAATTCACTGTAGACCTATTAAACATTAGAATTTGGTATTGATCTAATAATTCTTATGAAGTTATATCATTATACTAGCAAATTAATTCAAATTTTTAGATATATATAATATTACTCATTAAGTTTTGTGTTAAAATTCATAGATTATAAAAAAAAATAGATAATTTATAAATTAATTAGTTATATGAGTGATAAGTTGTAAGTAATGAATTACAATTTATAAGTTAAAAGTGACGTATAATTTTATTAGGGGTGTTCAAATTTTTGATTGCTAATAAATTCTGACCCTATTCTACCCTACTTGATTCTATTGGTTGGCTGCCCAAAAGAATCGAAAGGCCAATGAAATTTTTTTTGGTATCTTGCAAAAAATCAAATAAGAATACAGAATACCTATAAAATTTTCGTATTTTTACTCTATCTTACCCGCATATAGAAACCATAATATTTTATTAATGTTTATGCCTTTTTTATATATGATATATTGATATTTATGGCTTTCTTGTTGTATTTTATTGTAATTGTTTATGTATTACTGAATTTATTGTGTTTTATTTAGCGTTAATAGTTTATTGTGTAAGTTAATTGATATAGGTTACTTAATTAAATTGTTAAAATGATTCAAAAATTAATAATTTAAAAATATGTATTTTCTCGATATTCTATCCGATTAATTTAGACGGAATTTGGGTAAAAATAATACGTTTATCGGGTAGGATCGACCAAAAAAAAAAAATTTCCGCCAAATATCAGATAAAATATCAAAATTCTTACTTAGGGTAGGGTGACCACACCTAAATTCCGCTATATGGTTTCCAACCCGGCGCTCTACCCACCATCGACAAGCATGGCCTAACTCCTTACCTGATACCAACCTTGTTCGGCTTCATTACTATGTGGAGTTGGGCCAGCCAGAAGTCGGTCTCTGCCGACAGTTTTGTTGGGCTGTGTCCGGCCCGACCCACTGGAGGTAAGGGGTGGGGTGGGGGTGGGGTAGAGAACTAATAAGATTACACAATTTCGGTACTGTCACGTAGTATAATCGTCGAACGATAAACAAATAAGTAAGTAAAATTAACCTCACTCTTTTAAATAATTATCCCTCCATGTAAGATAATAATTACTAAATATTCAAAAATTGAGATTCACTTACTCACTTGTTTGTTTATCACTTATCAATGAGCGATTACATTACATGACAATACTGACGTTGTGTAATTGTTACACTCAATACTAACAACACTAACATAATGTAATCTTTACGCTCAATATTTATTCGAAGAGGAAAGCTTTTCCTTAAAAAAAAAGTGCTATTTTACCAACTTTGTATAGTATGCACTTTATAGACAAGNTTCTGAGAGAGAGAGAGAGAGAGAGAATCACACATGCAATCTAGGGGCTGGGGAACATTTGCTGTGGGTATGGCTCGACCCCGCTCTAATTGCGTCGGGGCAAGGTTGCCAATTAGGTGCACCAACCACTGGGTCCAATTAGTGGAATGACCACGACTCTCACCTAAGTCTGTGGGACAGCGATAGGCCGGGTTGTTTGTTCGGCCTGCAAAGCCTCGCCCCAAACCCTCCCAGTTTTTTGGTTTCTAGTATTAAGTTTGATTAATGCTATTGAGACCTAATTTACTAATATAATTTGTCGACTTAATTCATTATGATATTTGAATTCACTGTAGACCTATTAAACATTAGAATTTGGTGTTAATCCAATAATTCTTATGAAATTATATCATTATACCAGCAAATTAATTCAAATNTTGCCTTCAAACAGCAAACAGTGCTAGGAAAGGACCACATAAATCTTGCTGTGGGCGGTTTTGGATATAAGTATTAGAAGTGCCACACTGCATTTATTGATTGTGACATTTAAACTTGCTTCTTACTCTGGTTCATATAGGTCTTCCCAAAATTGGACTTTCATTGATCAATCCTTCTGACTACATTTTTTTTTAGTTTAACAGTTAAGGATGTCTGATCTAGTTTACGCGCACTTCGATTAATTTTTTTTTTGGTCCAGTTAAAGGTAAATCATCTATGCCGGGACTAAAATATTAATGAGAAATAAATCTTTCATAATCTAACTCCAAATAATTATCAAAATTTAAACATGACCCCAAAAAGAATGTCCGGGCCAACTCCCAACTACTTTGCTAATGAGCCTTGGATTCATCGTGGATGGTTATGAAATGATCATTGCATATGTCATTTAGAGGTGTTTCTGAGAGAGAGAGAGAGAGAGAGAATCACACATGCAATCTAGGGGCTGGGGAACATTTGCTGTGGGTATGGCTCGACCCCGCTCTAATTGCGTCGGGGCAAGGTTGCCAATTAGGTGCACCAACCACTGGGTCCAATTAGTGGAATGACCACGACTCTCACCTAAGTCTGTGGGACAGCGATAGGCCGGGTTGTTTGTTCGGCCTGCAAAGCCTCGCCCCAAACCCTCCCAGTTTTTTGGTTTCTAGTATTAAGTTTGATTAATGCTATTGAGACCTAATTTACTAATATAATTTGTCGACTTAATTCATTATGATATTTGAATTCACTGTAGACCTATTAAACATTAGAATTTGGTATTGATCTAATAATTCTTATGAAGTTATATCATTATACTAGCAAATTAATTCAAATTTTTAGATATATATAATATTACTCATTAAGTTTTGTGTTAAAATTCATAGATTATAAAAAAAAATAGATAATTTATAAATTAATTAGTTATATGAGTGATAAGTTGTAAGTAATGAATTACAATTTATAAGTTAAAAGTGACGTATAATTTTATTAGAGGTGTTCAAATTTTTGATTGCCAATAAATTCTGACCCTATTCTACCCTACCTGATTCTATTGGTTGGCTGCCCAAAAGAATCGATAGGCCAATGAAATTTTTTTTGGTATCTTGCAAAAAATCAGATAAGAATACAGAATACCTATAAAATTTTCGTATTTTTACTCTATCTTACCCGCATATAGAAACCCTAATATTTTATTAATGTTTATGCCTTTTTTTATATATGATATATTGATATTTATGGCTTTTTTGTTATATTTTATTGTAATTGTTTATGTATTATTGAACTTATTGTGTTTTATTTAGTGTTAATAGTTTATTGTGTTAGTTAATTGATATAGGTTACTTAATTAAATTGTTAAAATGATTCAAAAATTAATAATTTAAAAATATGTATTTTCTCGATATTCTATCCGATTGATTTAGACGGAATTTGGGTAAAAATAATACGTTTATCGGGTAGGATCGACCAAAAAAAAATTTTCCGCCAAATATCAGATAAAATATCAAAATTCTTACTTAGGGTAGGGTGACCACACCTAAATTTCGCTATATGGTTTCCAATCCGGCGCTCTACCCACCATCGACAAGCATGGCCCAACTCCTTACCTGATACCAACCTAGTTCGGCTTCATTACTATGTGGAGTTGGGCCAGCCAGAAGTCGGTCTCTGCCGACAGTTTTGTTGGGCTGTGTCCGGCCCGACCCACTGGAGGTAAGGGGTGGNTATTTTAGAAAATAGAAAATCAAGCACAATTATAAGATAAATGGTAACTAACGAATGTTTTGTAATATATAATGTTGTATAATAGTGAAAACGATTTACATAAGAGTTCCAAAACGAATTACAATCCAAAATACCATATCAGCTAAACCTATCTCCATCATAACACGTACCTAAGAATATGTCGTATCATGTACCCGTACCTGTACTACGCACCAAAACAACCCACGATCCAGTTAACATTAGTTATGTCCCCAAGGCCTCAATTCTCAATCCATCAGTGGCAAACCATAAAAGACATGGCTAGTTGCAAGCGATGAACTACTTGTACTGAGTGACGCTTGCTTGCTTTAAGCCTAGCTCAATCATATGTTCTCTCTCGGGTTTTAGAATAGGGGTAAGACTACGGTACCCACAAAAATAATATGAATATCATATGAAAAAATAACTTTTGGCACCATAATTTGTCCTTTAGAATAGACACTAGGACATGAGTGGTCCATTGTTGGCAATTAATGCTTTCTCTTGTCTATATCTGTGCACATAGATCCATTATTAGTTACACTCATTGTCTGTGCTTCCTCATGGATGAACTCAGTTGTAGTCTTGTTTTTAACAATCACAGTCGCTGCAAGTGTTTGAGTCAAGCAGAGGCATGGACATGTCAAAGGAAAAAGAACGTAAAAAGCCAAACATCTGAGTATCTTACTCTTTAAGATGTTGCTGAACATTAGTGAGCTGGTATGAACAAAAGACAGTCTACTACACAAGGTTGCCGTGTCGAGGGAGGGTTAGATCACATGTAGTCAGCTGCATATGGCTCTTCTCAATAATGGGTCTAAGGAGAGTTTGATGCACAAACATTATTTGTTTGCGGAGAGACTATTTTTGTGATGGATCATATTAGAGCAATTTAACTATTGTACTAAAACCCGCCCTTTAACTGTTAGCAGGATACAAACCACTATTGAATGCCGGATTAAGCCAGATTAATACAGATCCTCTGCCTCCTTATTCCCTATCATTTGGTTCCCTTTTTCCTGGGTACCAACTTCCTGAAGGGTCTTTTGATCTAAATTCCAGCATAATGCAGCATCCCTGAATGATTTTAGCCCTTCTATCACTGCCTCTTCTTACTGTTTAGCAAAGAACAGAACATGATGTCATTACCTAGACCCTTTGAAGTTAATAAACTTCAAGAGGAGGAAAGCATGGAATTCAGAGGTGCTGAATTCTATCAAAGACTTGAGTAGTAGTGAAAGAATAGTACTGCTTCGGGTCTAGAAGAAAATTTGCAAAAGAAAAAAAATTCAGTGCTCAAATTCTAGTGTTACTGTTGTCATATCGAGTGCAAAGCCTTGCCAAGCTGAGCTTGCACAAGAAGTAAGTAATAGACAGTCTTACCCAAAATATGGCATAAAAGAATGTTTCAAGTTCAAACTAACCAGTTTAAACTGTAGCTAGGGTGGTTCTCAGGGTATACCTTGCAATGAGCTGTATCAGCTGAAAGTATAGAGTTAGGTCTGTTCCTGTCAAGTTTAGAAAAAAAAAACCTCTAGAATAAAGTTACTGACCTTTATACGTTTGAGCTTGGAGTAATCTTAAAATGGTAATTTTACGTTTTCTCTTGTAATATAGGCCCAATTAGCAGGGAACTGGGNTGTTTTAGAAAATAGAAAATCAAGCACAATTATAAGATAAATGGTAACTAACGAATGTTTTGTAATATATAATGTTGTAAAATAGTGAAAACGATTTACATAAGAGTTCCAAAACGAATTGTAACCCAAAATACCATACCAGCTAAACCTATCTCCATCATAACACGTACCTAAGAATATGTCGTATCATGTACCCGTACCTGTACTACGCACCAAAACAACCCACGATCCAGTTAACATTAGTTATGTCCCCAAGGCCTCAATTCTCAATCCATCAGTGGCAAGCCATAAAAGACATGGCTAGTTGCAAGCGATGAACTACTTGTACTGAGTGACGCTTGCTTGCTTTAAGCCTAGCTCAATCGTATGTTCTCTCTCGGGTTTTAGAATAGGGGTAAGACTACGGTACCCACAAAAATAATATGAATATCATATGAAAAAATAACTTTTGGCACCATAATTTGTCCTTTAGAATAGACACTAGGACATGAGTGGTCCATTGTTGGCAATTAATGCTTTCTCTTGTCTATATCTGTGCACATAGATCCATTATTAGTTACACTCATTGTCTGTGCTTCCTCATGGATGAACTCAGTTGTAGTCTTGTTTTTAACAATCACAGTCGCTGCAAGTTTTTGAGTCAAGCAGAGGCATGGACATGTCAAAGGAAAAAGAACGTAAAAAGCCAAACATCTGAGTATCTTACTCTTTAAGATGTTGCTGAACATTAGTGAGCTGGTATGAACAAAAGACAGTCTACTACACAAGGTTGCCGTGTCGAGGGAGGGTTAGATCACATGTAGTCAGCTGCATATGGCTCTTCTCAATAATGGGTCTAAGGAGAGTTTGATGCACAAACATTATTTGTTTGCGGAGTGACTATTTTTGTGATGGATCATATTAGAGCAATTTAACTATTGTACTAAAACCCGCCCTTTAACTGTTAGCAGGATACAAACCACTATTGAATGCCGGATTAAGCCAGATTAATACAGATCCTCTGCCTCCTTATTCCCTATCATTTGGTTCCCTTTTTCCTGGGTACCAACTTCCTGAAGGGTCTTTTGATCTAAATTCCAGCATAATGCAGCATCCCTGAATGATTTTAGCCCTTCTATCACTGCCTCTTCTTACTGTTTAGCAAAGAACAGAACATGATGTCATTACCTAGACCCTTTGAAGTTAATAAACTTCAAGAGGAGGAAAGCATGGAATTCAGAGGTGCTGAATTCTATCAAAGACTTGAGTAGTAGTGAAAGAATAGTACTGCTTCGGGTCTAGAAGAAAATTTGCAAAAGAAAAAAAATTCAGTGCTCAAATTCTAGTGTTACTGTTGTCATATCGAGTGCAAAGCCTTGCCAAGCTGAGCTTGCACAAGAAGTAAGTAATAGACAGTCTTACCCAAAATATGGCATAAAAGAATGTTTCAAGTTCAAACTAACCAGTTTAAACTGTAGCTAGGGTGGTTCTCAGGGTATACCTTGCAATGAGCTGTATCAGCTGAAAGTATAGGGTTAGGTCTGTTCCTGTCAAGTTTAGAAAAAAAAAACCTCTAGAATAAAGTTACTGACCTTTATACGTTTGAGCTTGGAGTAATCTTAAAATGGTAATTTTACGTTTTCTCTTGTAATATAGGCCCAATTAGCAGGGAACTGGGGGAAGATTTACTTCGATTCATTGGCCTTGAACTTGAAGCACCTAGAGTGAGCTCTAGATCAAGTGCTGCATTCAGAGAACTTGACTTCATTTGCAGTGCTGCTAATGGAGATTTCATCTCAGAATGGAGGGGAACCAGGTGAGAGAACTCACTTTCTTCACTGTTGGATTTTGTAAAGAATGGTCGTATCGTGTTGGCATTGTTTGTTTGATTGCTATTCTCAACCTGCCATGTTAATGAGAAAAATCAGTAGACTAATTCCTTGTAGGAAAAGGATAAATTGAAAGTGGAACTATAAGCTAAGGCATAATATACCCTGTCAAAGAGGCTGGAACGCCTATGCTTCTTGTTGAGACCAGCCTGCCGGAGAAAATACTTCTGAGCATGACTTGCAACTTGGGTTGGAGTCCTTGAAATCACAAAGTTTTTCGAGATTCCCCTCCAGTCACCCTTTCCCAGCTTCTCAAGCCCAATTAGAAATGTCCGGTGTTCCTCTTCTGTCCATGGGGCTCCTAATCCAGCCATGAAAACATTCACATCAGCAAAACCAAGAAAATCCCACAGGTGAATAGTTGAAAAGGGAGGAGGATAAAAAAAAAAGACAATAACTTCAAGATAACTGCAGCCTAATGCGCGATTCTCCTGCCACTTGGATCTGGCGAGGCTCAGATGCATCCATCTTTATCCCCTATGCAAAGATGTTGATTTTGTGACTCGAATTCGTGATGCCCCAAGTCAAATAAAGCAATCTTATCAATGTGAGATCATTACCCAAAACAGTTTATCTAAAAGCTAGCAATGTTTGGTAAAAACCATGTGAGGAAATCTGAATAACCAACCATTTAAAATAGCAAGATCAACAAGAAGGATAATTAATTCCATACCCTTCTTCCTCTCGTGGACTTGAGCAAAGAGACCATCTGAGAGAGAACCCATAGATGTCTTATCAGAATCATTGATGGAAACTCGAGATGAAGACAGTGAAGATGATGGAGAAGGTGAGGAGGTTATTGGTGAAGGCAAACAATCCATGCTGAGACTTTTCTTCATGGGAACAGAAGATGAAGAAGATATGTCAAGTCGCACTCCAAAGAGCCTAAGTCCACCAAAAACAGTACCTCTATAAGTGGTGCAAGTCCTTGTATTGTGTCCTATGTTTCCACAATGTGAGCACTTTCTGCCCATTTGCACCCAGACAAGGCTCAACTTCACAAACTAAGAACCAACACAGAGAGAGAGAGAGAGAGAGAGAGAGAGAGAGAGAGAGAGAGAGAGAGAGAGACTATTAGTATTAACCCCAATGTTTTGCTGGTATTTCTTGAGGTGGGCTTTATGACAATGGAAGCACACCTAGAGCAGATGATTGGATGGACTTTATTTTTGGTTGGATATTTTTCCAACTTGGGTTCTTACCTAAGAAACCAACGGGAAGGAAAATGAAAGACAGAGGCCACTCATGCTAATTTAAAGTCTAAAGCGGAAATATTAAATGAAGGTATTTTTATTTTTAGTATTTTTCTAAAAGAAAATTAATTTATTTTTTATTTTCTATATGAGAGAGACAAAAGAAAGACGTGTTAATATTGTTGAGAAAGAGATTTTTATTTTTATTTTTGTTTTTTATCACAAAGAGGGAGAGTGTGTTTAATTTCAACTTTTATTTATTTTTTACTAGAGAGAGAGAGGGTGAAAATAAATATGAGTTGACTTTTGATTATTTTTTTTAATATTTTTAATTTCTAAGTTCTTAATATTATGAATTGGATTATAAGTCCAAATTATTACAATAAAAAATTTGATTAAATTTATTTTTTTTTGGGTTTTTTTTATAGGGCTTAAAATTTAATAAATTTAATTTTTTTTGTGGCCTAGTGATGTACCTAAAATTATGAAACTTTTTAAAAATTTAGGGCTTAAAATCCATATTTTTGTTTTCATACTGTTGGGCTGCCCTGAATGAAGAGCTTATCTTGGAGAAGATGACTATTTACTATGGATGTCTTTATTTTCCCATTGTAGTGTCGATGGCAACATTTGGAATATACCTTCATTCATGAACTACATGTATTAGAATATACAAACATCTACTACGTTACTCTCCTAAGCATTCCAAAACCTCCTACCACCATGATCATCAATTCATGATCGCCCATTATCACCAATTAAAGCAGAATCATACGAATTATCAGACAGATTAGTCAACTCTTTGTACTTATTATTCATGTTAAAAGAAAGTTGCCTTTTCAATACTAAAGTTGAAATATACACACAATCTTTTCCTGGAGTACCAATATAGCAGTTAGCCTAGTTGTACAAAACAGTATATACAATACATCCTCAGTGCCCAAAGTCTTTGACTCCAATCATATGCTTGAATCTTGTTCATGTAGAGAGAGAGAGAGAGAGAGAGAGAGAGAGAGA